TTAAAAAAAAAAAAAAAAAATAAATTTGTACTGACTCAGTTTTATAATTTGGTTAGTTTGTTTTACTATCCAGACAGAGTGGAGAAAATACTTCTCTGTTACAGATTAAATCACCCTGCTTACAAGCTAGGAACAATCATCACAGAAAGATCTCTGGCAATACCAGGAACCTTCGAAGTTAGCATTTTTTAAATTTCTGTCGGGGGGGAGGGGTAGGAAGAAAGGAAAAAGGAAATTCCTGAAACCCAAGCAGGCACTTTGGGTCAAATAACTGAGCAGATTTGCTCAAGTTAAACAGTATTTCATACATGGAAAATACTGAAGGCTTATATAAATATCCACTAACTAAAAAATTAAAAACAAAAAAAAAGTGGCTTTCAGTTCTCTCAGTACACGCATCTGAAGACAAGAAAGAGGTGGATTTTTGTGTTTGTTCGTTTCTGAACTTGAAAACCAAACCACTACAGCTCCTTCATAACCAATAACTTAAGTTTAGCTTTGTAAGGGGACTCCATATATTTGGTGTAAGTTAACTAAAATGCAAATCAGTGACTTTTATACTGTACTAAATCATGAGCTGACAATGTTGTGTGCATCCTCTCTTGATGGCAATCTAAACTGTGGGAGAAAATCAACTAGAAAGCTATGAAAGAAGGGAGATGCAACTTGTCTACAAAGCAAATCAGATAATGGTTTGACCCTGGAACTTGTGATCACAAGACTCATCCTAGTGATTTCAAGATCTGCAGGAGTTACAGAAGAGGACAAAAGGGCTAGTGCATTTTTACACAATACCTGTTCTGTTATTTCTGTTATTACTGTTAACCAAAAAAAAATTTTTCACATTAGCATGGATGTTAAAGGGCTTGTCTCAGCCCTCTGCAAAATAGCTGGAAATGCTGGAGGTGCATTAAACCTGTTTTGACTAAGAAATGAATCAGATCTTTTTTTTTTTTTTTTTTTTTTTTTAAATACAGGTTTCAAACACAATGATGACCCAGCAAAAAAATCCCATCAGCATAGGTAAGCATTTCAACTCATCCCATGGTTCAGTTTGACCCTACGGATCTCTCTTTTTATGGCATAATTATTTGCATGACTCTTACAGCCTCACAGCTGTTTTACTGTAGTTATTATGTTTAGTTAGAAATAATGGGTAGTCTAACTCTATAGGAGCTCAAAGGAGTTTCTCTTGCCTGGAAACCAGCTGGACAGAGGCAGTCACAGTACCTCAAATGACCAAGACCCTGTTTTAAGGTTTTGTTTGACTATGAAAATTTGGCCTAAAGAGAAATGAGCAAGGATGAAATAAGGTAACAAGTAACAGACATATGTGCTCTAATCTAAGACAAAGTGTTATAAGATCTAAAAGGATTTGAAAGGATTTAAAATACTTCTGATTTTTGCCTTAGTTTATTTATGATGCCATTCAACCATACTAAAAAAAAAAAAGTTTAATGTAAGCTTTATGGCCCCTAAGTGCATTCATATCTAAAAGCAATTGAGTGTTTGAAAGTGAATCTAAGGTTCGGAAACAAATTTCCCTTAACGGCACCCACATCAACTGACAGAGAATCTTTTTATATGAACATACCAAAACATTACAACCCATAACCGTTTTCCCGGTACTCTGAACTATTTGTCAAAAAAACCCAATACAACAAATTGTTCTATATTTTGTCTGTAAAGAGCAGCTTTGCAAACGTCACTGGAGTATATCCCAGGCTGGAAGGCCTATACAAGAACACCATTGATTCTTTGAGGAATTTGTGATTTTTGAATGTTGATAAACATATTAGTAGCTTCGTTTGGTGGACTGTATTGTCTAAAGCTGAAATCCAAAGACGAAGATTTTACCTTTTGCCTTTTCCGGATGACCCAGTTCTTCCATAGCAGAAGTCTGACTTGCCTGAAGAAGCTCATTTTTCTATATCAACAGTACTGGTTAACCTGTTGTGAAGAATATATTGCCATTTCTTAGCTGACAACTCAAACACACTTCAGAGCAAAATAACTGTTCAGTTTCTTTTCTTTTTGTAAGATTACATTTTTATCATACAGATCAGTTCCTTTCATTGTCTGCACCATTTAATTTTGCACTTGATGCACTATTACACATGAAAAACCGTGGTTTTCCTTTGTTTGGAGGCTGTTTCCTGTGAGACATTTATCAGTGTCCAAATATAAGAGAAGAAAAGTATCTCCCTGGAATGAAAATATGGCATTATCAGTCATTCCAACCATTAACATAGACTTGCAAATAGTGGAAGCAGTTAATTGTTGCATCATTTATCAGATTAACTCTGTGCTTTCAAACTAATGTTTTCAAGAAAGGATGGATTTACAGTGGGACGCTAGTTTAATATAAGCTGCTTACTTATTGCAATAAAGATAGAATTAGGCTTTCCATTCAGGTGTATAGGTGTATATTGACTAACACAGCTTGGAATGGGTTTTGTAAAGAACATTCTTTTTGTTGAGATTTTATTAAAGAACAGCATCTCAAATGTTTATGCTTTTAATTCTGCAACTCCTAGGATATTTAAGTAGGGATACAACAGAATCTAAGATCATTTTGTGCTCTGTTTTCCAGGTTCATAACTCATTATAATTACCAATATCAACTTTTATCTTCAAAAGGAAAAATAAAATTGGAAATATAAGTCTAAATATATACTTGCCAGACACAGAGACCTGTTCAAAAATGAAGAAAACTTTGAATTTGAATTTGCTACCTGTATTGACTTCCTACTTTATACCTGCCTTATAGAATTTAAATACTTGTAGAGTAGTTTCTTCATAACTGGTTAATAACTGGGAGACTGCAGAAAAGAGGATGCAACCTTGGAATTGAAAAGTACTTTCTAACGATAGGAATGACAAAGTAATAGAATTGATCGTGTGGAAAGGCTGCAGGGCCTCCCATCACTGGAGACTACCTAAACCTTTATCAAGAATTACATAGGTAGAGCTGCTCATGGATTATGTGATTTGTTGTGCTCCTCCTGCCACTATTTATTCTTCTAAAATTCCATTTGCAGAAAAACTATTAACTGGAGGAGATTTTGTTCGATTTTAAGAGACAAGGGTTGGCTAACACGTCAGAATATTTTTGTCTGATCAGGTACATGTTTTATGATCTGAAAAGGAATTTAGACCTTCGCCAGGGAGGAAGAGGCCAGCACAGGGGAGAAAGGCTGGCACCAGTCCTTACTAACCCTGCTGGAAAGGGTTCCTAAAGAAAGCGTGCATTTCTTTTAACATGTGGAACTTGGAAGAGATTGGGGCAAGATATTTGAGGCCAAACTGAGCTAGAATTGGCTGTGCTGCTTCTAGGTGATGAAATAACAAGTGATAAATTCTGCAGAAAGGCTAAAATTTACATGCAAAACTGATGGTGCCAAAACCTGGATCATTCCCAGACTTCATAGGTTAACAGTTTTTGCAATTTTCAATGTCACTCCATCAACTCTTAATCACTCAAGCTACAAAGAGCGCACCACAGGAAGTCAGACTAGCTACAGAAACTACTGCTGTTATAGGGAGTAATGGATTAACCCTTGATGGTTTGAAGACATGGACCTTTGGGAATTAACAGCCTCCCACCTTCAATAGATATAAGCTAAAGGGAACAAAGAAAACGCACAGCTTAGTGATCTTGCCCAACACCATACTACTGCAAGTGAAAAATGCTCCTGATGGTACAGATGTTATTAGGGTCCTAAACATGCATCATGATCTGCAGGCATGGATAAGTTTTGTCTGGGAGATCTAGTTTCACAATGATGGGATTTGAAGCCTATTTCAATTCATACTGGAGGGAACATTAATTGAAAACTTCACATTGAGACCAAAGGCCTGAATATAGAAGATCGAGAAGGAAATTCCATATCAAGATAGCTAAATTTTAATCCTTCCAGAGTTCGGTGCTCTCTGTTTGCATGAAAAAGCAGTCATCCATATAGCAGCAAAATCAAATTTTTCAAAAATAAGTGCCAGAAATAAATATTTCCTTTTCACAGAATTGATGCTAGGAAACCAATCTGGATTACAGAATCACAGAATGGTTTAGGTTGGAAGGGACCTCTGGAGATCATCTAGTCCAACCTCCCTGCTCCAGCAGGGCCCTCCAGAGCATATTTCCCAGGATCGCATCCAGGCGGGTTTTCAATATCTCCAGCGAAGGAGACTCCATAACCTCTCTGGGCAAAATCTGAATTGATTGCTACAATGTGTACTTGGGACACATAAAAGGCTAAATTTAGAAATTAACATCCACATTTTCTCCCCATCAGTCAGGACTGGAAAAGAAGCACGTCCAGTTCTTCTTCAGACGTTTACCCAATCCAAGGCATTTTCGAGCAATTAGCTGTTGGAAGGGTTTGGATCCCGGAAAAAAAATTTGGTTGAGCATTGTCAAGAAAGTAAGAGTTACTGTCACTAGTGGACAGCAGTTCCTGCATGTAAACATGCTGATTGGCCATAAGAACGTTCTCACTTGGAAAGTCCCCCTACATCTGGTGAGTCTTTCTCACTACTTAAAAAAACAACAACAAAACAAAACTCCTAAATCCCACTTTTGTCAGTTCATGAGGATTTCAGTACTTCCTCTAAACTCTGGTTGTTTCATGAAGGTGGCACAAGTATTTTTTTTCTTTTGGAGACATAATGTTCTAGTAGAGACTGGAAATTTCTTCTAGGCTTCCTGGAGAAATCGGAACTGCAGCAACAGGAGAAAATTTGATCTAACTCATGGATCATCACGGTCTATAAACACAGATGGTGGGACAGAAAAGCTACTGTTTCACAACACCACTACAGGGGAGAAGCTTATTCTTCTCATCCAAGACTTCTTTTTGAATTTTTTGAATTTTGATTTTATATTTTCTCAAACTTCTAAAATGACAGCAAGCTGCAAGCTCACATAAAAATACATTAAGCTAAGTAAAACATGACTGTATATATGTTCTGACTCAGAGCTCCAGAGATGCATTCAGAACATTTTTCAGTAAGCTCTGTCCTACTTCAATTAACATTTATTAAATCAAGTTATGTAGTAGGACTAGATGGCTCATTCATGTCTCCAAAATAAATTACCCACAAGTAGTATCTGCTTATGGTCAGATCCCAAAGCAAAGAAGCTCAGTGAACACTGAATTCTTTACAGATCTTCATCTTTAAGGGTTGCAATAGACAACCATGCAGCAAAAACTTCCACTGGTGCTCATGTCAATCTATGGCTCTGTGTAAGCATTATCATAATTTCCTTCACTGTCTCACTGCCAGAACCCTGTGACACTTCTTCCAAGTGGAAGCTGCATGCTGTTCCAGCCTTCATTATTAAAAACAAAAAATCTCCCTAACAAATAACAGAAAAGGATTTGGTGGCATTTGCCTTCTTTCCCCTTCACAGGGCCTCAGGGAGACCTTTTAAAGTCATCCTCGAGATGCCACTTGACTGAATTTAACATGGAATAGCGTGCAGATACCAGGGCATGCTGCAACTGCAGAGCACTGCATGTAGCTCACTGCTTCCTTACTAGTTTTATCTCAGGACACTGAAGTCTTTGCACAGATTTGTACCTAAACTATTGACTTCAACCTGACTTCCTTCAGAACAGATTAAAGGCAATCTCATCTTTTCCAAGTGCCTTTGATCTGATTTCGGTTGGACATATGTTCATATCACAGCTGAAAGTCACCCTGCTGGCGTCTCAGTAGAGAAATAAAGGACTTTGTGAAACCACAGAGGGAAGTCCACTCTGATTAATGGCAGCGCAGAGTAACCAGCATTGCTGCTAGACCATAGATTGCATTTATGCAGTACTTCTGTTGCCAATACAATCAGAAAACTCAATGCTTTCGATCAGCAAACAAACATTTTAACACTGAAACGCTAAATAATTTTAAGGAAACAGATATTTTTGCTGCCTGCATGCACACAGTTAAGGCTCTAACAGATTAAAGTAATCTCTCCTAATTAGATTTTTACATTACAATTGGATGATGGTGGGGCATTTGTTTTCTATGCTCATTTATGTCAGCTGTGCCTGTGACCCACTTTACTTTGTAAAGGGTGGATGCTTTGAAAGTAAACACAGAAAGCTTGTTTGGGGCCTATCAGTTCACATGGGAGGGGAAAATATGGTTCAGCTTATGGAGCATAGCACTTGTGCACAATTTCTCTGATAGCTCCATGTACAGCTGTCACCATCACGACTAAGGATTTCCTGATAATCCTTTCTTTGCTGCTAGCAGCAGCAAAAAAGCAGGCATGTATCAGAACATAATGAAGTAATGCATGGAAATACAGACCTGATGTCCTTGAGTTATGATCACAACACATATCTGATAACAGGAAGCTCCCTATGATGTACATACATAAACACCTACATGCAATACATAGGGTTATGTGTCATAGGTGTTCTAGTAGCATAAGACTGTGTCATTGCAAATTTAAGACAGACAAAGCCACAAATGAGTCACGATGGTCACTGTAGACCTAATTAAACCTTTACATCACATCACTTCTCCTATATATGCCATATTTTTTAACAGCAACTTTAAATGCCAGCATTTTATTATTTTTTTTTTTTTATTTCTTGAATCTGCAAAGTCAAATTTGGTTAAGTGCTGTATTGCAAATTATAAACAGATCTCTTGTAAGCCCTCCAGCAGCACAAGCAAGTATTTTTCTATTATTGTCATAATTTAACATATTAGCTGAGAAGATAGCTTTCAAAGTATGCATACTCATGCCTATTGTCTGGGCTCTTGGGTCAACATTTCTCATTTTCAGAAATAGTGCTTTCCAGCCACTAGATAATTTCTTAATTGGTGAACTATTATCTTACACACATAGAGGACAATATCCTCACACAGCCTCACTAAAAAGTTAACACAGTAATGCTAACACAGTTTTG